CTGGCTGGAGTGTTGTGGGGATCGAACTACAGCAACCTGAGGCTGACAGCTTTGTGGAAGCAGCCACTTAAAGAACTGAGCTAAGGCCAGGCCCCCCCCCCTTTTTTTTTAATGTTACTGGATTTGGTTTGTTCATACTGCATGCAGCTTGCTTTGTATCTACAGTTGCAAGAAATATTAGTCTGTAGTTTTCTTAAATCTTGGTCTGATTTGGGTACCCAAGTAATCCTGGCCCCACAGAATGAACTGAGAGGTATCATCTTCTAATTCATTCTCTCTCTCTCTCTCTCTCTCTCTCTCTCTCTCTCTCTCTCTCTCAGCAGAATGGCGGAATCGGGGATTGAACTCAGGCCCTTGCACTTGCCAGGCAAGCCCTTATTCTACTGAGCCATCTCCCTCACCCTCTGTCTTCTAATTCTTTTTTTTTTTCTTCCAGAACCAGGGATTGAACTCAGGCCCTTGCATTTGCCAGGCAAGCACTTATTCTACTGAGCTATCTCCCCAGCCCTCAATGATTTTTAAATACCTTTTAAGCCAAAAATCCTTTTAGACAGGCTGGCAAGTACAGGTTCCCGAGTTCAATCCCCAGTACCACAAAAAAAAAAAAAAAAAAAAAAAAAAAAAAAAAAAAAACAAACACCACCACAACAAAAACCTTTTAGAAATAAAACCTTGATAGAGAATATAATGCAAGAGGATATACTCCAGGGGCTGGGGAGATGGCTCAGTAGAGTAAGCGCTTTCCCAGCAAGTGCAAGGGTCTGAGTTCAATCTCTGGTTCCACCAAAAAAAAAAAAAAAAGATATACTCCATATAAGAAAGCAAACAAAATACCTACAAGTTAAACTAACAAAATCCAAGTGAGGAAATCTACAAAATGTTCTTGTAGAGCACAAACATTGTCTTGAACCAAAAGAAGAGCACATCATGTTCTTGAAGGCCCTCGTGTAGGAATCAATACTCTCAAGCTTATCTATGAATATAATGTGACTCCCTCAAAAAGTCTGCCTTTTTTTCTTTATTCTCTTTTGACATACCCAATTATTTATAAATTCATATAAAAATGAGACAATTAACCATATGTGATTATGAAACATAAAACCAAGTGCAAGGACACATGACTATAAGCCCAGAGACACTGGAGGCTGAGGCAGGAGGAGCGCAAGGCCACTGCCAGCTGGGCTAAGCAAGGAGACCCTGTCTCAAAAAAATAAAGAGATGATAAAGCCTATTTTAAACAATGTGGTTGGCACACATGCGCGATAGACAGCAAGATAAATGATTTTTTTTTAAATTTTTATCATTTATTTATTTATTTATTTTTGCAGTATCAGGGATTGAACTCAGGCCCTTGTGCGTGCCAGGCAAGCACTTATTCTACTGAGTTATCTCCCCAGCCCTAGAGAAATGATTGAAAAAATCCAGAAAAAGATGTAGATGCACTCAGAAATTTAACCTTGAGTTCAATCCCCAGCACTGAAAAAAAAAAAAAAGAAAAAGAAAAAGAAAGAAAGAAAGAAAGAAAGAAAGAAAGAAAGAAAGAAAGAAAGAAAGAAAGAAAAGAAAAAGAAATTTAACCTTGGCTAAGGCCAGCACATTAAGTTAGTGGAAAGTGGGCCTTTTGCAAAGTGGTGTCCAGGATACACAGATGGCCATGTGGAGAAAGATGACATACCACGCCAGCAACTTGGGGCCGGGGAGATAGCTCAGCTGCTTAAGTGCCTGCTTAGCAAGTGCTAGGTCTTGAGTTCGATTCCTGGTACCACCTCCCCCAAAAAAGTGTAGCCAAACCATCAATTCATACATTTCCCAGGGTAAGTTCTGTGTGGATCAGAGATTTAAATTATTAAAAAAAAAAAAAATCTAAAGAAAAACATGAGAGAAACTTCTTGACTGTGATGCACTATGTGCAAAAAAAAACCCAATCAATTTGGCAACTCTTTAAAATTTTATATGGAAAAATTCCATAAGGCATAGCAAAACACAATGAAAACTTGGGGGAGGACAAATCTGCAACATGTCATAGACCACTAGAGTTATTGTCCCTAAATATATAAAGAACTTTTGTAAATAGAGAACAGAAACACCAACCACCTAGACAAATGGGCAAGGGCTGGGGATATAGCTCAGTGGCACAGCACCTGCCTGACAAGCTCAAGGTCCTGAGTTCGATTCTTGATATTAAAAAATAAATACAGGGGTTGGTGAGATGGCTGAGTGGTCTAAAGCACCTACTTAGAACAAGCTTAGCAAAGCACAGGGACCGCGGTTCAATCCCCCAGCACCACAT